CTGTCCTTTCGCTCTTCCCTTCTTCGTCTGGCCACTCTGCACATGTGCTCACTGGGAACAGGCCCTGCCCCCCCCCCTCTGCCTGCGACACAGAGCCCTCATCATCAGAGCCTTCCCCGGACTCCAGGACTGGCCCATCTTCCTCCCCAAACTCCCCACTCTCCGAATCTGCTGCCAGCTCCACTGGTGGGCCCCAACAACGGCCGAAGAAGGCAGCTCAGTTGGACCCAACAAATCACTGGGATTGTTCCTGGGACTGTTCAACAAGATACAAATCGGTTTGAGTTCCGCAGAAATACAGACAGTTCTCAACTTACAACCATTCAGTTAGTGACCCACGTTATAATAGCAGTGCAAAAAGTGACGTAGGACCCTTACGACGACCACTGAAGTATCCCCCCCCCCATCATCACAGGATCAAAGTTCAGATTGGCAACTGACTCGTGTTTACGACGGTTGCATTGACACCTGGCCCCCTTTGGCGGCCTTTGGACAAGTGAGTGGAGGACACAAATTCACTTAGCAGCGGTGTTGCCAACTTAACAACTGCAGCGATTCACTTAGCAACTGTGGCAAGAAAGGCCGTAAAATAGTGGGGGGGGGGGACTCATTTAACTGTCTTGTTCGGCATTGGAAATTTGAGACTCAATAATTTGAAGACTACAAATTGCTTTGAAAGACTTGCTACCTTTGAGCCTGAAGGCGAATAAGGGCCGTCTTGATCAATGTTTGTCAACCTTGGCAACTTTAAGACACATGGACTTCAACCCCCAGAATCCTCCAGCCACCAGAAGAGAATTCTGGGAGTTGGAATCCATGGGTCGTAGGTGAGAAACCCCGACCTTCACTGAACACGCATCGGCTAATATCAGACACCGTCCTAAGCACGTTGTTGGTTCAGTTGTGTCTTGAATGGATGGAGTCAAACCACCAATGGTGGTTTACTCAGCAAACTACAGTCAAACAAACTAGCCTACAGTAACGGAGAGACTCATCTTCTCAACCTCCGTAATCTTCTTTGAGAGCCATCCAGAGGGGTGGCTAAAAGCCAAGCGATGCGCCTTGCAAAGAAGTGGTTCTCCGTTCGTCATCAAAACCTCAAAATAGCTTCCCAGATGACACCAGACGTTTCATTTGTTTCAAAGGACGATGGTTTACAAAAGCTTCAGCCCCTACGTGCCCGTGGGTGCAAACGATACTTGAGTCTGGACAGAAAAAGTAATGCACCGGAAGGCTCCCAATCTGGATCCCCATTCTACATTCAATGTTCTTCTCTCCAGTTTTCAATTTCGATTGAAAAAGTAACAAACTGGAAGACTCGGAATAGCCCAATAACAGAGTTGGAAGGGACCTTGGAGGTCTTCTAGTCCAACCCCCTGCTCAAGCAGGAAAACCCTACTCCCTTCCAGACAAATGGCTGTCCAATCTCTTCTTGTGATGGGAGCACCCACAACTTCTGGAAGGAAGTCGTTCCACTGATTTAATTGTTCTCGTAGTCAGGAAATTTCTCCTTTAGTTCTAGGTTGCTTCTCTCATTGATTAGTTCCTAAATGCAGCCAAGAAGCTTCACTTGTTCAAACACAGCCGCTATGTTGGGATTAAGTACAGAATCCCTTGACTCACAACTGCAACCGGGACCAGAAACTTTGCAACTTCCCTCTTAGTTTGCTAGCAAGGTAAAAACAAAAGAAAAGAAATATTCAAGAGTGGACTCCCCTATTTTCTGCATCTCATGATCCAAACTAATTTCAAAATCAAAGTCCTGTTTTAGTTCCTCCCTGCGATCCGTGGAGATCTCTTTTTTAGATTCCTAGCAGGGCAGAGATGCTGCCCATTTCCCGCAAAACGCCAAACAATCCCGAGGTTTATCTGTTTCAGTTCGGAGTTTCTTTCTTTCTTTCTTTCTTTGTTTACGTAACCTGCTTGGTGAAGCCAAGACCGCCCCACGTTTTCAAAAATTGTGGTTTACTGCAGCTTCGTCGGCTTATCAACCCAACCAACCAACTGAGCTTTATTGAATAAGCATTGTTTAACCAAAGCATGAAATTGGAAAGAGCAGGTTAGGAGATGGATGGTAGACAAATCTATCCATGCAGTCACTAGGAATGAAAACCAGAATTTGATGGCATATAATCAATCAGCCAAAGCAGGGTGTGATGCAATAGGAACGCCAGACCACAATTCAATAATTTTTAGATGAGTTAAAATAAACCATATGTACACACTGTATACATACTATATATTGTGTAACACACACACACACACAGACAGACAATATAGAGAAGCCATGACTTGTTGAGTCATTAAACAGAGAGAGATGGAATGATTATGGCTGGGCCATTAAAAAGCCATGTTTGACTTCCCACCGGCTTCCCCATTAACTTTCCTTGTAGGATGCCAGCAGGGAGCAAAAGGACAATCAGGACCGTCAAATTTCAACCCCACAGAAGTCACGGTCCCAAGTTTTGGACTCGTTCCTTAAGTTAGTGAAGCCTTGAAAATTGCTGTGGTGGGATGCATCCCTTTGCCCAACGGAAGGTTACAAACAAATGAACAGAAGAGGGTGGATAGATGATAAGAGCGTAGAATGGAAGAGCAGAGTTGGAAGGGACCTTGGAGCGCTTCCACTCTCAGGCAGGGAACCTTAAACCATTCCAGACAGAGGGTGGTTCAATCTCTCTCTAAAAACCTCCAGTCATGAGCACCCACAACCTCTGGAGGCAAGTCGCTCGGCTGGTGAATAGTTCTTCTGTCAGGAAGGAAATTCCTCCTCCTAAGTTCTAGGTTGCTTCTCTCCTTGACTAGTTTCCATCCGTTGCTTCTTGTCCTGAGGCCCTCGGGTGCTTTGGGTAGAGGAGGCGGGGGAGAGAGAGAAAGAAAGGGAGAGAATGGAGAGATAGACAGATAGATAGGATAGGTTGGTAGATAGCTGAGCTGGAGAGAGAGGGATGATGGATGGTTGGATGGAGAAATGAATGGATGCATGGAGAGACAGATAGAGAGATGACATGGATGGATGGACAGATATATTGTTTTTGTTTGTGTCTGTGTGTTTGTGTGAGTGCGTCAAAACCTGAGGGACATTAAAAAAATATATCTCAGGTGTTATAACTTGCATGGTATTGGATCTGGGTACTTGAGAGACCGCCTACTGCCAATCACCTCCACTAGGCCAATAAGATCCCATAGATTAGGCCTCCTCCGAATTNACACACACACACACACACACACACACACACACACACACACACACACACCGCTCCCTTCTCCCTGCCAGGCTTATGGAGACCCAAATGCAGATTAAGGCAAATGTTTGGCAACGAAAAGCGAAGGTCGATGTAAGGCCACACAACTTGGCTTTTAGGGGGTGGGGGGGAACCAAAAATGGAACAGGCACCACTTTCAACCCATCATCCCTGCCCTGGTCCACGGAAACCCATGGTCCACGTTTGTGTACCATGAACTCTTCCGCATTCACTCACTCCTTCCTTCCTCCCTCCCTCCCTCTCTTTCCCTTTCCTCCTTTCTTCCTCACTTTCTCTCCTCCCACCCTTCCTTCCTTCCATCCATCCATCCATTCTTTTGCTTTTTCCTTTCTTTCCTTTTCTCCTCTCCTCCCTTTTCCTCCCTTCCCACCCTTCCTCCTCTTTCTCTCCCTTCCTTCCTTCCTCCCCTTCCCCCCTCACACCCTTCCTTCCATCCATCCATCCATCCTTTCCTTTTGCTTCCCTCCTTCCCCTCTCCTTCCTTCCCTCCTTTTTCTCTTTCTCTTTCCTTCCTCCCTCCCTCCCAACCGACGCCTCTCCACCCCTCTCTTCTGCCCCTCCTTCAAATAAAACCCACTTTTTTTCTTTCTTTCTCTGGAAGCGGCCAGCCTTAAGCCCCCACCAGACAGAACAGCAGATAAAACCACCAAAGGGAGGAAAAAGCGACTTTTTAAAAACCTGGGAGTCAGAGCGGGACGTCAGGAATCAGGCAACCCGCTCCCCCTCCCCGCACACGCACACACACCCCCAGGCTAGAAATCTTGCAGGCAGTCCTTAAAGTTGACCTTGGCGAGCACAGTGAGATCCGTTCTGATGGGACAAGGCAGAATGGCTGCGTTTTGTTTTTTTTTCTGATAAATGAGTTTAAAAGTGCACCTCTGTTTTTGCTGATTTTTCTCTCTCTCTCTCTCTCTCTCTCTCTTAAATACGAAGTGTTTCTTTTTTTCTTTTTTCCACCCCTCTCCGTTGCTCTGTCCACCCACCCCCCCTTGCCACAGGGGGGTTCCGATTACCGATGCTTTGGGGGTATCACCACTAGGGGGCGCCCGTCCTTGGGCCTCCACATGAGGACCTGGGCATCGTTGGCGTTGGGTTTGACCAGGGCACTGGGTGGTATTGGCTCGTTCTTGCTGAGGACTTGGGGCTGCTCCTGAGCAGAGGGCTCCCTCAGCTTGGCCCGGCGCCCGAGAGGATGGCTGGGCTCCACATCGATGCCCAGTTTCATCCGCCACTTGATAGTCTGCAGGATGACCATCTCGTTGGTGGTGGTGTTGGTGGCCACCAGCCAGGTGGTGAAGCTCTGGTCGCGGTGGATGCAAGTCAGCTTGGGCACGTTGCTGTCGCTCACCGGGACCGCCCAGGTGACGCTGGGGTAGAAATTGTCGTTCATGCTGATGGTGAACTTGGCTTCCTTCTTGGTGGGACCTACGATGGTGCAGGTCTCGGTGGTGTTCCCATACCAGGGGTAGTTGACCCCATCTGAGTCACTGATGGCTTGGATCTTGCCCTCCAGGAGTTCAGGAAGCTCCCAACTTGACCTGGGTGGAAAGTGAGAAAGAAGGAGCAGGTTGAAGAAGGTTTTAAAATTTGGAATCATAGAATTCATAGCATTCAATAGAAGAAGGTCGGCATGAAGATGACTGTTCTGAGGCTTTCGGAGAGCATGAAACAAGCTCCTGGTCCCGACAAAAACCCCTTTTTTTAATTGACTGTGAATTCTGCTCCTTCACCTCCAGCAAAGTCTTTCAAGGGAGGATTTACAGTCACAGACCTTATCTGACTTGGAGAGCTGCCAGGCATAAAATCTGCAGAATTTAGCAAGGAGCCTCTGAGAGTCACGAACCCATTAAGCAAACTAATGGTCTCCACTCCCCTTTCGCTCCTCTTTTATTTCCTCTGGGAGGGGCCATTCACCGTCCACCTGTGGCCTTCCTCCCAAGTTGACCCCTGTCCTTTCGCTCTTCCCTTCTTCGTCTGGCCACTCTGCACATGTGCACACTGGGAACAGGCCCTGCCCCCCCCCCTCTGCCTGCGACACAGAGCCCTCATCATCAGAGCCTTCCCCGGACTCCAGGACTGGCCCATCTTCCTCCCCAAACTCCCCACTCTCCGAATCTGCTGCCAGCTCCACTGGTGGGCCCCAACAACGGCCGAAGAAGGCAGCT